TAGTCACGGTGACTTTGGCTGGTTCCATCTGACTTTAGAAGGATGGTTCCAAAGGTGCAACAAAAGGAGGCAATAAACAGCTATGGCAGCTATGTGAAAAAATGGAACTGAAGGGTGGAGCATGATGGAGGTATCCTGTCAGTGAATCAGCAGCAGTTTGTTGCCCTTGGCTGCGTCCTGTTGGCAAAGACTCTCTGAATTCGGTCGCAGCATGCATGCATTGGATGACGCTGTTCACCTAAGAGAGTTGGAAATTGGCTATTTGGCTGGGTGCCCTTCTCCATTTTTTCCTCCATGCAACACATCCAAGATGCAAAACAAGCAAAAACCAAAGGGACCCAACTGGACGATCTTCGCGGAACCCATGAGACGATTGTTGGCCCATCAGGTCTACGGAGTCTACAGCCCCATTGGGCCATTGGCCAAGCGACATAGCAGGTATTGCCCAAATTCTTTAGGCCTCGCTGTCGGCTAATCACCACGTGTCTTGAATTTATGGCCTTATTATGGTGGGACATTCTTACTCAGCCAAGGGGATGCCAAGGAGATGCCTTGACCTTCAACAATTCTCATGGTCTGAATGTAAGATAGCGCACCAAGAAAGATCCCCATGGAAGTTTGATATATTTTGATATCCATGCCTCATCAAAGACTTTGCTGCAAGCATCCCCAAGGATCCAAGCAACCCAGAACGTTTCAATGGATTGGTTTAATGGAGAATCTATATATACAAGCAAATGTGGTTATCTCCACCCAGATGTACAAGCTGCCCGTAAAGTTTATCATCATCATCATCATCATCATCAGCAGCAGCAGCATCATCAGCATCAGTTCTGGAATTACTACAAACTCTGGGTCGGGTTCACTGGCTTCAAACACGAACAGGGTGCTTTCATGTGCTTTCCTCCTTCTGGCATTGCAACAAGCAACCCGTTGCAGCTTGCGATTCCAGTGATTTGCAACATAACTTGCCAAACAAAGTCACCACTTGCCAAATAAAGTCCCGTCTGACTCGAACAAGAAGCAACCCACAATTATATTCATACAATGATAGTGGATACTGACCCACTTAAAAACATCCCGGGCTTGGTTTTCTTCTTATCAGTAGACAAAGTTGAACTGATTCCTGCTGGTGGGGACTTTGCATGCTACTGTAGCTTCCAAATGCTTCCAAAGGGAACAATCTTTCTCAGGAAGAAAAACAACCACATAAATGAAGGGTTTCATGCTTGTGCCCCTCGTCTTTCTCAGAAAAGTCGTTACGCGATCATGAAACACAATGAATATACATCAATCATGAAACACAAATAATATATTAAACATCATAATCTATCCATAAATCACAAAACATAAATGTATATATATATATATACATATCTGTGTGTGATTAAAGATGTATCTATATAGTTTAACGGTCTGAGTTGAATTGACTTAGGCAACATTTTTTCCGCAACCAAGAGGCCCTTGACTCCTTTCCTGGCATCTCCCGCCGGAGCGGTCGATTCTTCTGCTTTTGCTTTTGCTGCCCGTGCAGCTGCGGCTTGATGGCCTTTCTTGCCCTTCTTCGCCATTGCGGCTAGTGGAATGTTCAATCAATGAGCAATGAAAAATCAATGGCTGGGCTGAATCCAAAGAAAAACATTGAAAATCAGTTGCACAGTTTTTCTGCTGAAAACAGTACCAAGAAGGAATGCATCTGACCCTTGGGCATTTGAAGCCCCCTTTTCAAATGCGAGCGCGGGGGAAAAGCTCGATGGCAAACATTGGGACAAGGGACATGTGGTCCCTGGGGACGAGGAAAGGGAACCCCCAACGATCGAGCTTGCAATTAAAAAGGATCATTCTAGCGTGATTCGCCCAGAAAACGAACAAACACATTGTGCAATAATCTATAATAATCTGTTGCCCCACCTTGATTCCCACAAAATCAACCGGGACACATAAGGGGGGATCAAGATGGATCAAGTGTATCTTTGAATCGTGAGTGCAGGACTGTCATCATCAGCATTCATGACACTGCCAAGAGCTCACGTGACTGTATGACTCGCTCAGATTGAGCAAATCACGGCTGCGGCATCTCCGGAGTATGGTCTAAAACCAGCTCGATTGGTGCTAGCAAATTGCTCAACAAGAAAAACCTCAAAGGGCTTTGTATAGTCTATCATAGTCTATCATAATAATATGGAGTCAAATCACTAGTCAGTATGCCAATGAATCAATGAATCGCACTGCTGTCCAACATGTATTTGTCAACTGTAACTTGTGACGCAGGCCCGGCAAACACGAATTCCAAGGGCCAGGCCGAGGTATCTCTGTGACTGAGTCCGTGCTGCCTTTCCACCACAATTTCCTGCACCGACAAGCTTGAAACCAAAATTGCTGGTAGGATAGAAGCTGATTGAATGCAGATGATATCAGATGATACTAGGGATCGGCAAGAATCTGAGATAATCTGAGTGATATGTGCAAAATACAACCAGTTGACAACGCTTGCTCCACTGCTTCCGCAGCTCCACTTTGAGGGCCCCACCCCTCCGCAAAGCGCCAGTGTGTGTCGGGTGGCGGGCCTTCGATCACGGCCTGCGGCCAAGGGGTTCGATCACACCTTCTCGCAGTGCCTTGTTCTGTTTGAGGTAGACAAGGGGGTACCGAATCAAAATCGACCAAATCAGATTTTTCATGATTTTTCTGAGAAATTTGGAACAATGTTCCTTGATGCACCTGGATAATTTCCAAGACTCAGCTTATCTTGCTCGGACTGGCCTTAGGATGTCTTGCGCGCCAAACGTGGCTCCAATTGCCTCGGGGCACCAGCATCCACCAGCCACCACCATTGGAAAATTACAAAACCTCCGGAGAGTGCTTAGTTCTGATGCAAAATCTAAGACCATGTTTGATCATGTTTGCATGGTCAGCCTCGGGTGCAGGTGCAGCCTAGCGCACAAATTATACATAGAAAAGACAGCAAAAGCAGGCCCATAGGAACACAGTATGTTCATAGCAAACTGTGCGTTTTCCAATCTCCAGCTCATTGTTTGCTGTCTTCCAAGACTTCAAACGCATCCCAGAACCAAGTTTGACACCAGTGCTCTTGCAGAACCGGAGCCAGCAGCAGCACAAGCAACTCAATACCAAAAGTGTAGTTCCCAAAAGCCTCGACGCAACGCTTTGAAGGGATGGTCTTTGGATATCGTATGATATTGTATGACGTAATGTTTTTGATGGATGAGGTACTATGCTACCAGATGCTACCAACAAGTGTTTTGTTGTGCAAATCTCGTTTAGCTATACCGTCGCTGCTTGCGTGAACAATATCAACCAATGAGACTAAGTCAGACTCACTGCAAAAAAAAAACACAAAAAAATGCACTCTTAGCATTTGATATCTTTTGCAGTCTGTAGAGAAAGGGTACAAGTTAGGGTCATGCCCAAAGTGGCAGATCCAATCTGCAACCTTACTTTCGTTTACGACCCGAAAGATTCCTGAGACGCGCAAGGTTTCGCTAATCCATTGGCATTTCCGAAAGGTCCTAAACCCAATGGTTCCCCAAAAAAACGACAAATGTACAATCATTTACCATCCATTTACCTAGATAGTTGTTATATGTCCACCATCTTTTACATCAAAAAAAATACACCATGTTGCTATCGGATATTTCTTGGGAGTTTTTTTTTCCCAAACCCTGGGAGTTTTTGGATCAACCGGGTGCCCACACCAAGGGGACTGGAGATGATCCTGCAGTGACTCCGCGGGATTTTTCAGATTTTCATATCGAAAGAAAAGAGGAAAAAAAACACATGTAGACATCCTGGGTAAATGTGTGATTAGATGTACTATTCATGTACTATTCAAATTCATGTATTTCATTTATTTCTGTGTTTTTGTTGATCCGTCGGCAATTTATTGAATTATACTTCAATTTAATGGTAACTGGTAGCTCTATCAAGTCTTAATATAGCCTAATCCAACATACTCCAATCTAGCGCAATCTAATCTGCACAATCTGACGTGTGTTATCCAATCTTTATACATGATGACATCCATGTATTCTGTGTACTGTAATCTTGTGATGAATTCCATTTATATAATCTAATCTATACAGTCTATACAGGCGGATGCCCTTACTTACCCCATCCACCTAGTAGTTACCCCAACCGCAAGGCAAACCGAGTTGCCCCAGGGCAGATAGTGGTTACCCCAGGTTTCAAATCCCAAAGGCCAGTACAGTCAAATCCAATCCAAACCAAACCATCCATCACCATCATCATCAACCAGTAGATACTTGTTGCATGGCTATCTACATGTATGTACACATACAACAATATCAATCATCCAACGGGAAATGTTCCATTACTGTAATATCATTAATCTTGCCATGGTGGCATGGTGGCCAAATTGATAGTGATACTTTTCATTGGATTCCCAATGCATTGTATCTCACCTCGCGAAGGGATTTGATAGATCCATACGTAGTGAACCCAATCCTTTTTGCACCACCAGGGTAGTACAAAAAAAAGTGCAGGAGCTCAGCAACTTTGGTGTCTGACTAGCGCCATTCTGGGACTGGACTGTTCTGGTGTTTGTTGGCTACCCCTAAATCATCCGATCATCCATCCCGGGATTTTCCATGAAAAAAACGGAACGATCCATTTTGGGGTACCCTCTGGTAGTGACTAACATAGCTATTGAAAATGGTGATTTATAGTGGATTTTCCCATTAGAAATGGTGATTTTCCATAGTTATGTTAGTTTACCAGAGGGTAATTACCCTCATCCAGCTCCCCAAAAAGTCCTGCAGCAAACGCCGCTCACGCGCCTCAGGCTGAGGACTGAAGTACGATGAAGTACGCAGCATCCCAACGAGCTGCATATTTAAAGGCACACAAATGAAAATACCAATTGGCTCGGTGGTGTCAACCCACCTCTATAAACTATATAATCATTTTAATATTTATATATATATATATATATAAATATATCATAATAATAATGATAATAATAATAATAATACATATACATATATATATATATAATAGTAGTAGTCATGTGGATCATTACCCCAAACATGCAGCAAAAATTTGATTGAAACGACCAACCAAACGAAAAATCAACAAACCGTTGCAAAGGACAAGCCCAACTGGGTAGAAACAGGCATCAACTATCAATTTGGTATCAATTTGATTCAATTTGCATATTCATGACTAAAGGGGCAGAATCATGACTCACATACTCACTGATATTTTCCGAGCGTACACAAAACATGTAGAAACCTTGCTCCAATCATCTGGAATGGACACCAGCAATCATAGAGAGCCTCTATCCTCCAGAAACCAACTCCTGAACCAAAATTTGGGGACAAGTCGAGATCTCAAATATGTAAGCATTAGTTGTTACCTTCAGATACAGTATCACTAGTGGCGGATTGAAAGTTCACATGTCTTGACCCGCACGTGGCACTGGACCCGAAAAAAAGATCATGGCCAATGTCAAACCAGAATTCTCGCCGCTGAATTCTGGGGCGCCAAATTATCCAGAGCCCATGACGGTCTTTCTCTTTCTCTCTCCATCGCAATCTGTCAACCGTGGGGCAGCGGCGGGAAACCGGAAGACGCAACTTCTGAATTGCACATGCATCAAATGGCGTGCTGAAAGAAACTGTGCACACAGTGCGCAAAGGTAAAAGTGTGGAGCCATGGGGGCTCCAAACCCTAGAATCTTGTCCTTCTAGCTGTGCAAGGCCGAGGCTGGTCGAGACTTCGCTCAGAATGGCACGACATTGATATATTGGGCGATGAAGGTACATAAGGTACAAACTGGTACAAATAATTACTGTCAAAATGTGTCAAATAGTTGAGGTAGCTGGAAGGTTCAGGTGCATGGTTGAAGCAATGAGAAGTTTCGGCCAGCTCTCGAAGGCATGCTGAAGTTTCAGCATGCAAAAGGGATCAAAGGGCGCAGCCGGGAACTCCGGCGAAACCCATCAGGAACTTGATGTCAAGGCTTTATAGGCTTTCTAGTAAAGTTCAGAATTCCAGGAGTTGCAACGAATTTCTCAGTGACCTTGCATTTGTCATACGGTTTGCAGTCAATGATGTGATCAGGTGGGTTCTAGAAAATTTGTTTGTATTACTTTTCGGGATTTGCGCGAGTTTGACGTTTTTTGCGGGAGCTTGACACTTTTTTGCGGGAGTTTTTTTACGTCAAAAACTAAAAATAAAACCACATGTCATGCAGAAACCTTGTAGCCTGCGACATCCACAACTCATTGGCTTTGGATGAATTTCAAGGAAATTGAGTCAAATAAGGAGGTTTGATCAATTTGACATCGTTTTGCGCAAAAACAGGGTCACTTCCTAGAATTCCGTGAAATTCCTAGGATTTGGATGGATTTGGAATGTCCAGTTATATAATTCAATGTGGTCGAAAAATTGGGTACCATCATGTACCATCATCTCCGGAGAATCACATGCCGTGTTTGTTCCGCAAGTCATGCAATCTGAATGTTGCAGCTGCACTTTGGCATTGTAGACACACCGTGACACACCTCCATGTTCTGAGGGATTGATCACACAATATCCCGCTGCTCGGGTTCGTGGGCCGGTGCGGCTGTCCGGTTCGTATTCATCAACCTCTTTGATCACAAAAACATACACACCCACAAAAATTGTGAGCGCCGCCACGATCCAGTCTGTTAGGTAGAAGAACAGGGCGAAAGGGCCCATGACAGTGAATGGTTCAAGACAAGACAAAAATGCAGCTTGGACCGACGGCAATGGTTTTGAACTTGCATGCAAATGATTTCAGTACATTTCAGTCGACAAAAGAAAAGAATGTTTAGATACGTTTAGACCAATCAATCTTGACTGGAGCCAAATCACCCGCATATCTTATACAATGTGCTTGTTTCTAGACCATCTATCTATCATAGTAGTGTGATGTAGTGTGTGTGTGTGTATGTAACAAATAGCTTGTAGTGACATAATCACATCACCTCACCTCACGTCACGTCACGTCATGTCACCTCACCTCACATCACCTCACATCACGTCACGTCACATGACGTCACATCACCTCACGTCACATCACGTCACATCACCTCACGTCACGTCACGTCACCTCACATCCAAGTATATATACATAGATATACGTAGGTTGACATAGTACTGTAGTCGCCTGCCAAGCACAAGGACGAATGCCGGGCTGGGCATCCGACCATCAGATTGTCTTTGAAGCTGAAGGCCCAGATCTGGCATGAAACAAGAACGATGCAGCCCATCTCACAGCAGTGCATAGGGATTTAGAATGATATCTATAATATACATATATATATATATGTGTGTGTGTGTGTGACATTATAACATTATATAACATATATAATCATATATATATATATATATACTGTATATACATATATATATAATAGATGGATTTGGCTAAGATCAGGCTAGGCCATGTATTCATCGTTTCATCTGCAGCTGAATCAACTCTGGCTCCCTATCTGAGAAAGGCACCTTGGGTCCACCTTCAAAGTGTTGGAGAACCTGGGCTCATGGGATGAAGAACATCCGGTGCGATGGGAGAACGTTTAACTGGTGCAACTCACAGGAAGCAATGGACAGTTGTCAACATGTTTTTCAAACAGGTACCATATAGGTACCATCCAAAGAAAAACTCCTGGCTTCCCTTGCCGACTCTTAGACATCTGTGATCATCTGTGACATCTGGCTCAAAGAGCTTCTATTCTACGCACATCTGCGCCCACCTACCATATATCAGAAAATATGATCAATGGATTGGTTTAAGGGAAAATCTACAGGAAACCATAGATTTTCCCATTAAGTATGGGGCTTTCCTGTAAATTTTCCCTTAAACCAATCCATTGATATGAGTGCAGAATCAGTCAATATCAGTCCTACAATATGAGTGCCCAGCAGCACAGGCCCGTCGTTGCTAAGGCCACTGCTGCCTCGACATCGGATGCCGCAGGTAGATGACCTGAGCCAAATGAAGCAAGGCCAAGCAGCCACTGAAAAAAAAACACATAATTTTACGATAAAAGCGAAAGATGATCCTGTTGAAACTTCTTCTATGGGAACTAGATGGAACTAGTGTAGGGCCCAGGGGCTGTTCCGAATGCATACGGCCTAATCAAGCTGACTTGGGTGTCCTGCTTGACAGCTGTGTTCTTTAGGTGCATAGCGGCATAGCAGTGCCGATGCAACAAAGCCGACAAAGCTTCACCCCGCAGCGCACCTAGTCGCCGGCTCCAAATCCGAAACTCCATCTGCTGCTTCCTTGGCCGAAGACTTCCCCCAGCCAGTCTGGAAGGTGTTTAACAATGTTTACCCTCTGGTAAACTAACATAACTATGGAAAATCACAATTTTTTATGGAAAATCCACTATAAATCACCATGTTCAACAGCTATGTTAGTCATTACCAGAGGGTAAGTGTTTACAGATTACAGCAAATCGATCTGCCCGCGTCCTCTGAGTTCCCAGCTGTAGTTTCACCTGAGCGGGAAAAAACTTGAGGGTTCTCAGCATCGGCCCCACTCGCACTCGCCCTCCTTTGGGGTTTATTTTGCGTGTGGTCTTCACCTGCCACCCGAAAGCCAGTCACATAATGGAGCGCTTTCACTTTCGGGTCTAGCTGTTTGCATGCAGCAATGCTGTGGTCTTGTCAGACTTATCACTGGCTATGAGCTTCAGAATCACAGTTGACTGATAGACAAGCCAATTCAAGCATTGTGATGGAAATGGATGTGAAGCCCACTGGTGAATAGAGAGATTCACATCCATCATCCAAAAGTGCCTCGCTGGGTGGAATTTCCAAGGACCAAGCCTCAGATGTGGCGCATCTAGTCATGGAAATGCATTCAGCTGCACCCCTGGAGGTTGTGATGCATTTGCAATGCTACCAATGGTGTAATATGTTCTTACACCATGATATTCTGCTCCACCCTGAGAGGTTCATTTGGAGGCAAATCTATGCAAATCTCACAGATATTTGTTCGGACAAATCTCGCATAAATATGCATAAATTATGCTCAATATAAGTGTGGAACATAATACAAAAAAATCCGACGTGTCACCTGACGTGTCACGTCGGTCCACGGTTCACAGAGCTGCAGCAGGCGGTACTGTAGTGAGGTAAGGTTCAGCAGAGGACACCTGGAAACCATCACCGGATAAATCCAGTTTTAGGTGAATGACTTGGGCCCCCCGAGCCAACTGGTGTCTGACATCTTCCGGATGTCGCGGGCCTGCCAAGGATGATGACAAGACATGACAGAACCTGAGGTCCACCCTGGGACTGCGGCTTGTTAAATGGTTGTCTAGCTGTGTGTTTCATGGAGGAAATATCAGGTCAATGTTCATGATGACAAAAACATACCAAGACCTTCCAAGGGGCTACGTTTTGGAACCCCTATCGAGTGTTCTTTAAGGGGCTACGTTTCGACACCCCTTAGCCGAACCAAAAAAACACAACAGGATATGGTGATAACGATGTTCATAGCACCATTTTTGGGAGACATAGTTGGAGACGAGCTGAACAACAAAAACTTTGATTTTGGGGAATTCCGACACGCAAATGACACGCGACTCCCTGGTAGTGACACACTGCCAACACGCATTAAGGGGCGCCAAAACGACACCCCTTAGCCTAAAGGGGTGGCGTTTTGGCACCCCCTGCACATCCACCCGACACGCAAATGACACGTTTGACACGCGCCATTTTTGGGGTGCCAGAAATAAAACTCAAAAGCATTGCTTCCGTGGCCTCAGATAACAAAGATGAAATGTATATCCCAGATGACCCCAAACAGGTTGAGAAACACCTTAGAAATAAAGGGGCGCCATTTTGACACCCCCTCCCTAAGGGGTGCCATTACGGCACCCCTTGGCATGTGCTGGTATATATATATATATATATATTCCAAGACTACCATATGACACACATGACATTTTGCTGTCAATCATGCGGCAATCCCGTTGAAGCTGTCTTCTACCATCTTGTGCTATTGCAGGCTCACCGCCATTTGGAAACTCGATGAGCTGGGCTAAATTGGAACTGGGAACATGCAAGTGGTCGGAATTGGTTGGATCTATGATGATCTATGCCTATACTTTAGTGGTTTCTTGGTGAAGCAAGGGCAACTATAGATTTGTGGCCTATTGTGGCCTCATGGCCTCATGGCCCATCTTCCCCACTGCAAATGGCATGTCCAGTGGCCACGGGTCCCATCTTGTATCATCTTGTAATGATGCACGGTTCACTGTGGTTATCTGTGATTGCCTTATCATTGCCTACACCTGAAAAGACTATAATTAATTTATATTAATTTGTCAATTTGGGAGAAATCTGTATTACACTTGTCGGAACTGCACAACTGGGTCTACATTCTTGACCCGGCCCCGTACCTTTTCATCATGTCTTTCACCAACCAGGGCTGCAAGAAGGCATCGGCAGCCCCGCTGCTTGACAAGTCTTATTGGAACATATTGAAACCAATGGCGGTCGGTCTGGCAAACATGCTAAACACAGTGCATCCAGGATCATAAAGGCATAAAGGTCCAAGATTCTGAAAGCATCAGCATTATGAAATTGGATGAAATTGGGAGGTTTGTTTGGAGATTCGAAGTGTTCTCATTCAAAACAAATGCCAAGCAGTTTGCCAGCAGCGCCGCAAAAAAAGTCCATGCATTCAAATGTAAAATGACATGGACATATCGCAGTATGAATGGACATCGCAAGGCTTCAGTGGTTTGGTACAAGTGTAAGAAAACACCTTTCAGCTGGCCAGCTGCGTCACAATTAGCGCACAACGGCGCAACATGGCGCGACGCGATTTACGGCACCAGGTCTGCCAGTTTGAACGTTTCCCTCACCAACCCAGAGTCGTTTCCTCAGAGGAAGCGAAGCGCGAGGGGTGCTTGTGGCTATGGATGGGTGGATGTGGTGGTCCCTCTATGCAGGAGATATTCCACATGGATGCCTCTCAATCCCCAGTGCCATCCGGACAGTTTTTCCCGACAGAAGCAGTGCAAGTATTTGGCTCATGAAGTGGTTCTTGCCTTGTTTCATTGTTTCCCTGAATATTTCGGAATTGTGAGACATATCACACACTTAAATCCCACCATATACATTTACTAGCAAACAGTAAATTACCATTATTTCAGTGGGACTTAGCTGCGTCATCTTTTTTGGCTGCCGTCACCGTTATACCCTTTATACAGCACTGCACAGTTAAGTGCCAAGTCTCCATCCACTTTGAGCACTTCGCCCTTTGCTCCAAAGATGAGCTGCTCGCCGTTGCCCTTGCAGCCCACGTGCGAAAGGTCGCAAAAACTCGACTTCAGTAGCGGTGTCGTCCCAGGTTTCCAGCTGGGTACCTGGAAAATTATGCGAATGAAAATGGAGATGGTCACCTGGGAATAAGAAAACTGGGATCCTTAGTTGATACAACAAACATCCGATTGTACTCATTTTTCACTGCCATCAAAATGCGTTTAATTATTCATGTTCATTGTCTGTGATTAGTTAAAAATCTGCATCTTGACTGTGCACCTTGTCGATTGATGTTCGGGCGACATGCTTGGACGACCAACAAGAACAAACGAACAGTGGCGACAGTGCCGCATCATCGAACCACCAAGAGAGACACGCAATACTTTGCAAACAAACCAAACATGGCACCGCGCAGACTGTTGCCGCTGTTGCCATGAACCCCTCCAGCTGGAGCTCCAAAATGCTCCAAGGGGCATGAAACAAACCCCAGTCGTAGAAGTCATCTTCGCTTCCCCTCTCAAGCCTCAATTTTCCGGGTCGTGCTGAGTTTTCTGTCTGTGCAGTTTATGGCAAATGTTCATAGAATTTTTCCGCTTGAAAAGGTTTGTTTGAACATGATTGAACACCCAAAGAAAACATCACCAAATAGAGTAAAACAGGGTAAAACTAAGTGGAGACGGCATCAACACGATCAGAACAGGCACGGCCCCAAGCCCTTCTGCGACAAGCTGCGCAATTTTCACAATGACCTGAACTGCAACTTTCTCAACATACTTGCCCCAAAATGCCACATGTCCAGATGACGTTAGGATGAAATGTATAGGCACCCCGTCAATCCAACCCAATATGTGAGCCAGTCCCTGACCAAACTCAGGAATTACGTAAATTCAGTATCAGTTCAGTACCATTGACCTACCTTAATGGTTCGTGAGTGGAGCTGTCAGGTCAAACAGCAAGCTCCTCCTTGCAGCCAGCTGGCCCAATCCCCTTGTTTTTTCGTAGCATGTGGCATTGGATGATCAGAACTTCCTGCGAAATCCTTCACCTCGGCTCTAGTGGAAACCACTTGAGTGGCGATGCAGGTTCAGACTAAGAGGGTGACAAATGTTGACAATCAAAAAACTCGGCTCCTGATCAGTGGCCATCACCTCCAAATCTCACTTTACCGGTTAGGAAAAGGATGGAAAAGGGTGAAGAAAATAAAACACCTATTCCAGTTATCTGTGCTGCCACAATGGTTACACTATCTCGTGGGATGATTTTATGAATGATTCTAGCCCGCCCTGCCAGCAAACGCGAAACCCAAACCAACGCAATAGTTTCAGTAGCCATCAAAACATTGAACGTGCCTTCTGGTGGCACCAGGTGGCAAGGTTCAGGTTCAGCCCTCCAAGTTCACGTTCTCAACCTTCTCACTCGGCCGCCCGTATTTCGTCACTGCGTCTCGAAGTTTGAGGTTAAAAAATAAGGTAGCTGCGGATGAAACAGCTAAGTATGGTTAAGTCTACCAGATATCTACCAGCTGGTCAGGAAAAAACAGGGTTTGATTGCCACTTATGTACACGCTATGTATTGAGGTACTTGCACTCCCCCTTTGAAGCTTACGAAAGGAGCTTCAATCTTTACAGGTTCCAGCTCAAGCTACCCTGTGTGCCATCTAGGCATGATGTACAAATTGAAAAACGACGGGCTCCTTCAGCACGGCTGCAGGTCACATCGGTATGGGCATATGAATGTAGTCCCGCCAAATGTATCGTAGCGCCAGGCCCAGGAATTCTTCCAGTCTGGGCTGATTCATCACGGCACTGATTGCACCATCCACACGTCGTCGGTCCAGTTGTTGGCGCAGTTAGAAAAAAGGCAGTTATATCGCGTATGATTTACCGTTCCATAGCGCGTGGTGATCACCTTAAATGAAAGTTCTGGTAATGCAGGTGTTGGGTCTCTGCGTCGCAGAGTTTGAAGTTGAAGAGGTCCAAGGAGAGGGTCACCTGGAAGAGTTGAGGTAAGCTCCTCTCGTACCAATCGTTCTTCCTGTTCAATCTCTCTGAGGTTTTGGTTTTTGTGGATCACTTCGATCTCCAAGACGTTTTTCTGTGAGGGCAAGTTGTTCGAATTCGGCCAACAAGTGATACGCAAACTGCTCCACATTGGTGTCACTTGGTGTGGTACCTACTTGTAATCCTGATCTTACCAATGAGACCCTGAATTGTAACTCTCGATGGCTCTCCAAAGTTCTTTTGGTCATCTTCAGCAATCCCTTCAGTTGTAGTGCTGGATCAGGAGCGATTGCGCTGATCTCCTTTGTTCTTGTCCTCCACCGATGCCACATTCTCGAAGCAAGTGGGCCATCCAAGACATTCTAGATCTCTGGAGGGTCCTCTAGATTGCGCACCAAATTCTGCCTCTCAGATACTCCACCTGGGCTGTAGGTGACCAGCAAGCAGGTCAAGACTCCAAATGTTGACCACCGTCTTGAAGCTACCAACTCGTCTCTCACCTGTGAAGGTACTGACTGCAGGATCATAGATGCATATGGGTGCTACTCGGCGTTCCACTCGTTTCCATTTTTCCTGACACAGCGCCGGGGCGCTTCCGCAGGATGCTTAATGCGAACCAATGGACTGAGAGACATGTGGTGCTTGTACCAAGCCTCGGCAGCGCAGACCACATCTTTCCACCATTCAGCAGCCGTCAATGAAAGATCTGCTATGCTATGATCGGTTCTGCTAACAGCAGCCAATCTCCAAGAATCAGAGGTCCTTGTTGTGCTTCACATGGAGCGAGAGGAGGTAGGTCCGGACTTCCGGCACGTATGGTTTCGATTCCTCTCACCATTCCCATGTCATCTCTAGGTTCTTGCACTCGTTTTTGCATCTCTTCATGGAATCCATCATGGGGGCATGAACTCGGTAAAGCTAGCAGTTCCATCGTTTTTGGACCTTTGGGGGCCGGCGGCCCCTTTGGTGGTCTCAGCTTCCTTACTTTGGAAATTTCGTGTCTCTTCAGCTTCAGTCTTTGGGGGTCTCGCAGCCTCCTTTGTGGTGATCTCAGCCTCCTTTTGTTCCCCATTGGGTGTGGAGAACTGCGGTTCTTCTTCCTTCTGACTTTACCAAAGCTAAAACACGTTCTCGAAGTTTCTTGTTTTCTTCCATCAGCATTTCTAAACCGGATCGGGATTGAAAAGGGATTTCTTGAGGTCTAGGATTTTTGGCATATGGATAAACTACTTGTGGTGCCTCTCCAACTTGTAAAGACCCTAGGTTCATCTTGTGCCAAGAATAATGGTCTAGCAATTGGAGGGGGCATAGTTAACTGGGTTGGCATCATCAGTTGTTGTGCACTAGGATACAGCCAAGGAGCTTGATTGAACATCTCTTGGAACTGTCTCAGCTGTTGCTCGTCAAACAAAGGTCGAGTTGGTGAAATTACGGCCCGAGACATTGATGCAGTGCTGGGTGGAAAAACTCGTTGCGCTCTGTCTGAAACATTTCCTGCACTTTGAGGTCCATTTGAAACACCCTGCACGTTCGCTTCCGACTTCACGGCCGAAGCATCAGTCACAGCAGCCACCAGCGATTTCGAAGATTCAACAGCAATCTGAAGAGTTTGCATTGGCGAATTTCCCTCAGAATGCTTTGATGGTGTTTCCTCAGTTACCTCGGTTTTTCCTTGGTGTTTCAAGTTCTGACTTAGCACGGACGGGTGGCCTTGCATGCTTGTCTGAAGACCTTGCAGCTAATCCCTGATCTATCGGGTCAGGAACAGGAGGTGAAAAAGACTTCGGGGCATTTTTTGGTCCATCCTCAATTCGCGGCGGTTCAATGATTCATAGACTTCTACTGCCTCAGGTTCTTTCACATCTTCTAACTGCGGCTCAGTTCCACTTGCAAGCTCAGAGTCAAGACGTCTTTGGGCACGTCTCATTTCGTCTTCACCTTGTTGTAGCTCAGCGTCAGTTGCCCTCCTTCTAGCAAACACGCCGAAGAGCTCCTTTTCAATGTCGGTCTTCTTTAGAGCGTTGGGCTCAGAGCGTTGGGCTTTCTCAGAGCGGTGGGCTTTCTCAGAGCGTTGGGCTCATAACCTGGCAAGGTTCAGCCCTCCAAGTTCACGTTCTCAGCCTCCTCACTCGGCCGCCCGTATTTCGTCACTGCGTCTCGAAGTTTGATTTTAAAAAATAAGGTAGCTGCGGATGAAACAGCTAAGTATGGTTAAATCTACCAGATATCTACCAGCTGGTGAGGAAAAAACAGGGTTTGAGTGCCACTTATGTACACGCTAACGCTATGTACTGAGGTACTTGCACCAGACACACCCAGAAACCCTTTCCCGCTAAAGCGTTCTTATTTTTGACAGGCTTCAATCTCAAGCAGCTTTTCAGACTTTTCATCGGACATCTGTTCTGATTCCTTGAAGCTAAGTTCCTCTACTGTCGGTTGCTTGGAATCAATGCATCCAATGGTATGATCGCATTCAGGACTGAGCCAAAGGTTTCAGGGCAGCGATTGGGTTGAACCCTTCGGGAATGAAGCATCTAATTTCATCTAATTTCATGATTTGGCATGCGCCAATCCCCGTTTTGATCCAATGTCAGTCCAAGCTTGGAGGGTCGTTGCAGTGTCCTATCCCATCCCGAATCCAGAAAATGGGCCCAGCGAGCTGCGAAACAGCCCTGCCATCCTTTTGCAAATTGCACCGGCTTCGGTGTTTTGGCGTTCGAGCTGCATGACACCGGACCCATTGTAAAAACGGCCATGATCTTTCACCAAACACCGCAATCCCCGCACAATTTGCGCCAAACTTCCATGTATAGACACTATGACAACACTATGCCCTCTCATGATTACCTCAAAAAAAATATCACACTTCAGCTGTCGCACTGCGCACTTGTGGTTATCGTTATTATACCATCTATCCCAGGAACCTGCCATCAGCCAAAAAATCGCTGGTCCAGTGTCACACCTGAACCTCCCAAGGCATTTGCCAAGCCACTGGAGGCTCTGATCATCGCATCGGCGGCTAGGCCGCTAGGGCCCACAGTGGAGCTCTGGGTGCGCATGTGTTTGCCAACCCATGGGGACTACAGAATGGCCAGCTATTCATATCTATTCATATTGAATATGCTGATTTGTGTATATACAGTATACTGATGTATACTGTATATACATACTGATTGATACAGTTGGCTCTGAGAGGGCTGAGATTTCGACGTTGGACATTCATGAGAAGGCATCTCTGCTTAGACATGCACATACATTCACACACAAAATGATCATAAATGTACGTACATGCAAAGGATATATGTATATAATGTGTGTATATATATATATATCATGATATGCCAATGTCATACTAATTCATAATGTGTCAAAACTATCTAGAACTATCTTGATATATTCGGATAGTATTGGATAGTATTGGATAGCATGACGATGTATGATGATGTATGATGATGTATGATGTTTCATGCATTGGCCCAAGACATCTTGGCCTCCCTTTTGGAAACAGAGCATCACTGGCCCGGCGTATTGGGAAGCTCCACCTTGATGGCAGCCTGAGGTTACAAGGTCGTGGTGAAAATTGTGTCAGCTGCGCTGCGCATATAAAAAGCTCTACAGTCAAACCCTGGAAGGATGGCATCAGTCAAGAAGATCAAGGAAATACCTGATGCCGTATTGTTTTAAGCGATATGGAACATATATGGGGCACGATGCAGCATAGGTACTGTACTCAATTAGAATCAATTTTAGAAAGAATGGGCTTTGTCTGAGCAGTTTGAGCGACTTTGACACTCTACTTCTACTGATACAATCTCGGTGAGGCGAACGCAATTGCGCGGCCACTTCATGCCTTGTGAAACAGAAACATGATGAAACATGATTTCTTCAAGTGCCATAAGTGGGGTAACTTGATAATACCATAATAACCATAGTTCAAACATGTTCAAACATGTGTCGAAACCCATTGATGGGATAATCCACATGGGGAAAGATCCTGTCGTGAACTCAGTGAACTAAGGCACGAATTGGGCGGCACGTTCTATGCCTTCAACCTCTGCACCGGGGCCCTTTGGCCCCAATTCGAAGGGAAGTCCGGGGCAGCTGGGGCAAGGGATTCAAGGGGGGCGAAGCGAAAAATCTTGGTTTTCCTAACATGAACAAAGAAAATATGCAACTGCTGAGCGCATGGGAAGACAAGGAGGATGGCA